AGGAATAAAGTAAGAAAGAGATAGCATAATACTCGCCTCCGTGTCATTAATAAAATCATGACTTTACGTCATGTTAATAGTAAAATCTGGGAATTATTCAGTATTAAATACATGAATGTTAGGCTGCAAAGTTTTAACATGAATATCATTTGGCTCATGCTAAATTGACCTTTTTGGAAATCTACTAAATGTTGTTTAATAAATAATCAATTTCAGGCTAAAGAAGCTGGTTAAACAGGAAACCGATATGAATAAGAAGCAGGGATAACAGAATGCCAACTTCAGACTTCAAATAAGAAACTGTCCGAATAAGATGCTAATTCTACCATCATAAAACATGGTCTCTGAAATCATGGTTTCACCAAGCACACAACACTTCAGTCGGTGGAAACGGTCAGTCACTGAGAATTACACAATATATGTTTTCACAAGTTTAATCAAAACCAAGGGTCTGTTTATCCATAAGGATGTTCTCCATCTGTAGTCCCAACCTCTTTACTGTTCCATAATTTCCTAAAGCTCCTGCCACCTGCCTTCAAATTGCCCCATACTTCTGTAAACAACAAAACTACACCCATTTCACAAGTGACAAACCTCCATACTGCCACTAATAATACGGTCACGAACCTCCATACTGACCTCTAATGCTCTGTCACCAGCTTCTTCAACCTCCATACAACCCCACAATTCTTGAGTCAACAGCCACTATACTGCCACTAATACTGCTAATACCAGTCTCTATACTGTCACTAATACTCCTATAACCAGTCTATACTGTCACTAATACTCCTATTACCAGTCTCTATACTGTCACTAATACTCCTATTACCAGTCTATACTGTCACTAATACTCCTATTACCAGTCTCTATACTGTCACTAATACTCCTATTACCAGTCTCTATACTGTCACTAATACTCCTATTACCAGTCTCTATACTGTCACTAATACTCCTATTCAGTCTATACTGTCACTAATACTCCTATTACCAGTCTCTATACTGTCACTAATACTCCTATTACCAGTCTATACTGTCACTAATACTCCTATTACCAGTCTATACTGTCACTAATACTCCTATTACCAGTCTCTATACTGTCACTAATACTCCTATTACCAGTCTATACTGTCACTAATACTCCTATTACCAGTCTCCATACTGTCACTAATACTCCTATTACCAGTCTCCATACTGTCACTAATACAGCTATTACCAGTGCAGCGGAACGCCAATATTAAATCCACAAATTCCGCTGGTTCAGGAAATAATCCACAGTCAAGCGCTGGAAAAAGCAAGGCAATATCCCAAATCGCCCAGTAACTGGACGAAACACAGTTCTGAGAGTCAACTGAGGTCTTTATTTTCAGCTCCACAATTTATACAAGTCCCCATGCAAGGGGTTTCCTGAGTCCCCTCCCAGGGGTATTCCCAGAGTGGACCAAATGGGGAACTTACTGTACAATACATTTCTCCCATCAGTCACTGCTGCACGAGAGGGATCCTCCCACAGGAATGTACCGTTAAGTGGATTATCCCTCCGTGCAGCAGAACCGACAATTTATATTAAAATCCATAACTTTTCGAATATGCAGTCTATTTAAACGAATGGACGTTCGGTAGATAGCTGGGGTCTGAGCGCATCATTCGTGAGATTACCGCTAAGATCCCAGCTAAAACAACCGAACGCCGCACGAAAAACACATTCATTAAAATACATGTTCAAAATACCGATTGCATTCTAGGGAACAAAATACCGAACGGCCCGGAACTCCCGAACGGCCTGGAAGCTCAGCGGTGTTCGCGCCGTCGAGTAGCCGTTTTTAGTACCATGCGCTCGACGACCAAACGATCCAAGATGGCCAACCGCCCCATGGAACGGCGGCCACCTAGGAGAGCCTCTAATTACCAAGCGCCACACGCCTCTAAGTGTGTGGGCTACTACATGGGGGTTATTTCGGTTCACGAACGGCCCGCAAAAGTGCAGTTCGTGAAACAAAAGAAAATACAGCACATACAGCTATCTGCATTCGGCAGATAGCCAATACAGTAATTACACGTCATTACAGCCAGCATACATTAGCACAAAGTTAAACACATATCCCCACCGACATACAGGCAACCCTTAAAGGCACAGTCTCTTTATATTGTCCAAGTTGCTATGTTTGCCACAACCAGTCTATACTGTCACTAATACTCCTCCTATTACCAGTCTATACACTGTCACTAATACTCCTATTACCAGTCTATACTGTCACTAATACTCCTATTACCAGTCTCTATACTGTCACTAATACTCCTATTACCAGTCCCCATACTGTCACTAATACTATTGCCAGTCTCTATACTGTCACTAATACTCCTATTACCAGTCTGCATACGGTCAGTAATACTCCTATTACCAGTCTCCATACTGCCACTAATACTCCTATTACCAGTTGTGACGAGACCAATCTCGCCACTGTGCATTGGAGGAGCCTGGTTGCCTGCCTGCTGCCTTTTGACTATGGACCGGCATTTAAATACTTTATTTTCCTATGCAGAAAGGTCTATTCATGTATTTCTGCCCGGGCGTTCGGTAGATTCTATCTACTGAACAAACAGCCGTCTATTGGCATCCCAGGAACCGCGGTTAGCTGGCAGGCGCCATTAATTGGCCATCCAGAAGCCTGTGAGCTCCGCCAATTGACCGCCCAGTAGCTGCGGTTAACTGCAGCTTAATTGACTATACCGGGTGGCCGCGGCTACGCATACTGCACACTGGATGGCTGCAGTACACACACGGCCGGTTCATTCACGGATTTACTGAATGAACTAATTTAACTCAGATAGCTATGCCATGGAGCCTATTCGTGTAATAAAAGACTTTGGCTCCATGGCAATTGAACTGTATGTGTGTGGTCTGTGCGCCATTCAGTAATAATGTGCGCTCAGACCTAAGCTATCTGGGGATATGTTGCATGTCTGTATTTTATGTAATAAATGTAACCTTGTGTATTTTATTGTATTTTACTGTCTTTTTACTGCCATGTGCTTAATGGAGATTTGCCTCTTTCCTTGGAGATAATTGGATTACTTCCCAATTATCTCCAGGATAGAGAGGAGGGATTGTGATGTCATTGTGGGAGTGTTTATCTGTGTTGTATGTTTTGATTGGATGTTCCACAAAACCCTGTGGGTGGGACTTTGTCTGTAAAATGTGTATATAAAGCCAATAAACCCACAGCTAAGTCTGTTCCTGCTTGACCCTCAAAACAGAGCCTTGTCTTGGGTTATTGTATGCTGTTCCAGTTCGACTGCTAGGAGTGTAAACCTATTCGAATGTTTTATCCTTTTCGGCTGTTTACCACATTCATACGGTTTCCTGTTCGGCGGATTGGTGTCTTTGGTAGCTACCTGTATATCTGGAAGGGGAATAACTACTAAACGGCTTTTAACCCCTTTTATGCCTGGGGGTGCCGTTACACCAGTCTCTATACGGTAACTAATACTCCTATTACCAGTCTATATTGTCACAAATACTCCTATTACCAGTCTATACTGTCACCAATACTCCTATTACCAGTCTCTATACTGTCACCAATACTCCTATTACCAGTCTCTATACTGTCACTAATACTCCTATTACCAGTCCATACACTGTCACTAATACTCCTATTACCAGTCTCTATACTGTCACTAATACTCCTATTACCAGTCCATACACTGTCACTAATACTCCTATTACCAGTCTATATACTGTCACTAATACTCCTATTACCAGTCTATACTGTCACTAATACTCCTATTACCAGTCTCCATACTGTCACTAATACTCCTATTACCAGTCTATACACTGTCACTAATACTCCTATTACCAGTCTATACACTGTCACTAATACTCCTATTACCAGTCTATATACTGTCACTAATACTCCTACTACCAGTCTATATACTGTCACTAATACTCCTATTACCAGTCTATACTGTCACTAATACTCCTATTACCAGTCTATACACTGTCACTAATACTCCTATTACCAGTCTATACACTGTCACTAATACTCCTATTACCAGTCTCCATACTGTCACTAATACTCCTATTACCAGTCTATATACTGTCACTAATACTCCTATTACCAGTCTATACTGTCACTATACTCTATTACCAGTCTATATACTGTCACTAATACTCCTATTACCAGTCTATACTGTCACTAATACTCCTATTACCCAGTCTATACTGTCACTAATACTCCTATTACCGAGTCTATACACTGTCACTAATACTCCTATTACCAGTCTATACTATCACTAATAAGCTACCCAAAGTCTATACACTGTCACTAATACTCCTATTACCAGTCTATATACTGTCACTAATACTCCTATTACCAGTCTCTATACTGTCACTAATACTCCTATTACCAGTCTATACTGTCACTAATACTCCTATTACCAGTCTATACTGTCACTAATACTCCTATTACCAGTCTATATACTGTCACTAATACTCCTATTACCAGTCTATACTGTCACTAATACTCCTATTACCAGTCTCTATACTGTCACTAATACTCCTATTACCAGTCTATATACTGTCACTAATACTCCTATTACCAGTCTATACTGTCACTAATACTCCTATTACCAGTCTATACTGTCACTAATACTCCTATTACCAGTCTATACTGTCACTAATACTCCTATTACCAGTCTATACACTGTCACTAATACTCCTATTACCAGTCTATACTGTCACTAATACTCCTATTACCAGTCTATACTGTCACTAATACTCCTATTACCAGTCCATATACTGTCACTAATACTCCTATTACCAGTCTATATACTGTCACTAATACTCCTATTACCAGTCTATACTGTCACTAATACTCCTATTACCAGTCTATACTGTCACTAATACTCCTATTACCAGTCTCTGTATTGGTTCGGGTTACTCACGTTCTCTCGGTTTCCGGTCAGGCGGTGGTTGCTAAGAGATGTGACGTCACATCCGGATGGTCTTCTTCGCTTCCTGCCCGCTTGGCATGTGCTGTGTGAGTATAAACCGGCCGCTCAGTATACAGCCAGAGATACCGCCCGCTCAGTATACAGCCAGAGATACCGGGGGGTCAGCCGTTCAGTATACAGCCAGAGATACCGGGGGTCAGCCGCTCAGTATACAGCCAGAGATACCGGGGGGTCAGCCGTTCAGTATACAGCCAGAGATACCGGGGGTCAGCCGCTCAGTATACAGCCAGAGATACCGGGGGGCCAGCCGCTCAGTATACAGCCAAAGATACCGGGGGCCAGCCGCTCAGTATACAGCCAGAGATACCGGGGGTCAGTATACAGCCAGATATACCCGGGGTCAGCCGCTCAGTATACAGCCAGAGATACCGGGGGCCAGCCGCTCAGTATACAGCCAGAGATACCGGGGGCCAGCCGCTCAGTATACAGCCAGAGATACCCAGCCGCTCAGTATACAGCCAGAGATACCGGGGGCCAGCCGCTCAGTATACAGCCAGAGATATCAGCCGCTCAGTATACAGCCAGAGATACCGGGGGCCAGCCGCTCAGTATACAGCCAGAGATACCGGGGGTTCAGCCGCTCAGTATACAGCCAGAGATACCGGGGGGCCAGCCGCTCAGTATACAGCCAGAGATACTGGGGGGTCAGCCGCTCAGTGTACAGCCAGAGATACCTGGGGCCAGCCGCTCAGTATACAGCCAGAGATACCGGGGGTTCAGCCGCTCAGTATACAGCCAGAGATAGAGGTGCCCGGTGTGTGCGCTAATCTGCCGGCCACTGAGTATACTGCCAGATTAGCGCTGAGTATACTATGGGCATCCTGCCACTATTAGCCTGTCCCCGCATAGTGAGCAATGTGTATAAAGGGCACACTGATCATTAATCACTATGGGCAGCCATGGAGAGATGAATGTTTCCATGTAATGTATCTGTATGGGCTCCCGGTGGACTCAGAGCCTGTTTTATACTGCTCATTGGCTTAACCCTTGTTTCAAGATGCTGCCAGTCTTACGGGAGACTTTGCAGATTTCGCAAAGAACCCTGAAACTGACCGATCCAATGTGGGTTTGGTGGTCATGGTTTGCAGGGGTGGTGAGTTTTACTTACCTCAGACTGTCCCTCATGGCCGCCGCCATCTTCATGCTCCTGTCCTCTGCTTCAATTGCCAGAAACCATGTTGGTGCTGTACTCTTGCGCATGCTTGAGGGCACAACATTGAGGTCTGTTGAAGATACTGCAGGACCCTCGATAGAAGAGCCTGAGTTACACAGCCGTCATTTGTGATGACTGCTGGGATTCAATAGAAGTTGGCTGCGGAACTCTGCATTTTGTCAACCTTAGGCTTTACCTTAAGACAGAGTCGCTAGTATGTCTTATGGCATCTGATTGCGTTGGGATTTAAGCCAGCATCAGTATTTCATAAATAATATTTTATTTTTATTTATTTATTTTTGTGAAATACTGAAAAGTGACAGATCCCTCTTTAAATCATCTTACAATGATAAAGAAGTAGCCATGATATTTCCAGTGATTTGTTTTGCTGTATAGTGTGGCAAGGTATCGTGGGATATGCTCTTCCATAACAGCCATAGTTGCCTATTGGTTACCCATACATTAATCTAAAAACATTTGCAATCTGTTCTTATTTTGTTTTCTTTTGTTTTTAGGTTAGGCAATGAATTTGTCTCACATTCCAACACCTGGGTATTTTATACATAATATTAAAAAGATTTGGACTACGCACATGTTTGTTTTTGTTTTGCCTGCGATCTCATTTGTCTGATCAGTCATGTCAGATATACTTTTAAACTTGGACATGGAGTCCTGCCTCTCTAGTAGCAAGAAGGAGTCCTCCACTAACAAACATCAACAATTCCTCAGAAAAAGGAAGTTCTTGGAAAGAAAGGGATATCTCAAAAAGAAACAGTTGCCAGCAAAGCAGAACTCAGGGCATCAGTCGCATTCCTGGGACCAAACCAAGAGGAGAGGACAGCAAGATGGCAGTTGGACCACTTTTAACAGAAATAAGAAACAATGCAATCAAACAAGTTTTCATAATGGTTTGAAACAGCAGGAAGCTCCTATGCCTCCTTCAAGAGTGCAATCGTTTCAGCCTGGCACCCTCAGAGTTAGCGTAGGCACCGGCACACATCAAACACGCATGGCAAGTTATATGCCAAACAAGGCACAGGCCTCTTCTAAAGAAGAGCTGTTCCGTTGTCACCTTTCTGAAACAAAAGTGCAATCCAAACCAGCTTCTGTATCTCACAAAGTTGATACATTGAGTGAGTTTGAAAGTGGCCTTTCTACATTCTCCGCTACTACTAAGCCATCTTACAAAATGGTGGCTATAGACTGTGAAATGGTAGGGACTGGGCCAAAGGGGCGAAACAGTGACTTAGCTAGATGCAGTGTTGTCAACTTCTATGGCGATGTGCTGTTTGATAAGTACATTAGACCTGAAAGCCCCATCACCGATTACAGGTCAAGATGGAGTGGCATCAGAAAAGAACATATGGTTAATGCTGTTCCATTCTCGTTGGCACAAAAAGAGGTGAGTCCAAAAAGAGGCATAGCCAGGAACAATACTGCAAAATTGTCAGAAATACACTATTGATCCCTTGAAAATAAAGAGGGGGGAAAAGTACAAATTTTGTTTGGAGCAAAATATTATTTTGTCTAGCTTGTTCCCATTATTCCAACTAAGCAATACTACTACGATTTAGTTCTCAATGTTAACCATTAGTGATGTCCCGAACGGTTTGCCGCGAACGGTTCACTGCGGACTCATCATTGAGTAAACTTTGACCCTGTACCTCACAGTCAGCAGACACATTCCAGCCAATCAGCAGCAGACTCTCCATCCCAGACCCTCCCACTTCCTGGACAGCATCCATTGTGAAGCTGCATTCTTAGTGAGCTGTCCAGGAGGTGGGAGGGTCTGCTGCTGATTGGCTGGAATGTGTCTGCTGACTGTGAGGTACAGGGTCAAAGTTTACTCAATGATGAGTCCGCGGCGAACCATTCGGGACATCACTATTAACCATTGTACAACAATACATATTCTAGAGTTGGAGTCTTCAGTTCGATTTATGTGAGAGGGACATGCATCACTTTTAGACAACTGTTTTCATTCAAAAGCTTCAGACAGTTGCCTCACTCTGCAGGCTTTTAAAAAAAAAAAAAAAAAAAGGTAAATATGATATTTTCTCATATTTACCTGCTTCTTTTTTTCTTATGCATTTCACACCCACTCCAGGGGATACAGTGATCTAATTCAGGGGTAGGCAAACTTTGTGCACTACAGATGCTGTGGACTACATCTCCCACAATGCTCTTAGTCATAATGCTGGCAAAGCATCATGGGAGGTGTAGTCCAAAACATCTGCCGTGCCAAAGGTTGCCTATCCCTGTTCTAACCAATCTGTGTGCCATCTCTAGGAATGCTGGATAAGAGCATTCAGTCTGCCTGACAGCTTTACACATGTGCAGCTTAACCCCTTAAGGACCAAACTTCTGGAATAAAAGGGAATCATGACATGTTACACATGTCATGTGTCCTTAAGGGGTTAAAGATCTCTTCACCCTGTAACATCCTGATGGGGAGAAAAGAGGCAGTATGATCATTGTCATTTATGCAGAGCAGGCACCGTTGTCAGATTTCTCCCTCCCAGCTGTGTTAGTGCGGTTTGAATGAGGAGCGTGGTGCTGCAAGGCAATAATTCTGTTTCCGTTAGTAGAATTCTGGATTGAATTAGTGAGTAGGTAAGGGTGGGGGGCAAAGTTGAAGAAACTACCGTAGTTGAGAAGTGAGCTCAACAGTGCAATCTGATCAAAATTATAAAGGTTTATTGCATACTTTTCAAGGTTATTTTTGCATTATTTGGTTTGTATATTTGTCTAAAAGTGTCTGCTTGTTGGTTTTAAAAATTGTCTAGTGATGCATGTCCCTTTATTGTTGCAGATAGTTATTAGGCTGGTAGTAAATAGTTGGTATTTTTTAATTGTTATTCAAATTTAAAATTATACATATTTTATTTTTTTTAAGAATGTTTCACTTTATCTGGCCGAGCAGTTATACCGTTATCTTACCAACTGTTGCTCAACCTAACTTACCTGCTGCTGTGATTGCGCTGAAGCGATGCAGAACAGCAAGCTGTGAAGTTTTCTAAAGAAAAATCGGTATACATCAAGTTTCATTAATTGTAATAAACTGTCATTGTCATGTAAAAAAAAACCACAAATGTGAAAAGGCACTCAAAATGTAAAATTGAACAAAATAAAAGATAGCTGCAAAATCTCCCTAAAACTTACATTTCTCTGCAATGTGCAGTTATAACAATATTAACCAACCCACAATATGGCTGCGCTTAGAATAATATAATGATACTTACCGTAAAGATTCACATTCTTCCAACAAGTGGCAAAACATGTTAATGCACCATATAGTGCAAATCTTAACATAGCTTTGTATATAGCAATGCAAAATAAAGCAAGTAACCTTGATGTTATAAACCCAATTACAAAATATGATGTAGCAATATGTTTAAAGGAACACTATAGCGTTAGAAATACAAATATGTATTCCTAACACTATAGAGCCCTTGTCACTGTTTATGTAACTAGGGCCCCCGTTCCACAGCGAATACCTTAATCCAGCGGCGGGCTCCATAGGCACTGGTGACCTCTCCTCCTCCATCAACGTCAGTTCCCGAGGGGAGCCGAATGCAATTGCACGGCCAGAGGCACGCGCATAATCAAACCCGCCCATAGGAAAGCATTACATATTGCTTTCCTATGTGGATCTTTTTTGACGCTGGATTCTGTGAGGATGTCCAGCGTCAAATAAGTGCGATTTACTCCGTGTACACCGCGGAAGCGGCCTCTAGAGGCTGGCTTAACCCTGCAATGTAAACGCTGTGTTTTCAGCTGTAGGGTTAAAACTAGGGAGACCTGACACCCAGACCACTTCATTGAGCTGAAGTAGCCTGGGTGCCTATAGTGGCCCTTTAAGAGGTGCTATTGAAAACGATATCATACAATAATAACCTATACATTTTACCGTGGAATAACAAGTCCAATGAGAGAGAAATCTGAGAACACGCCCATCACACCACCAATGGACTTCCAGCACTTATTGTATTTAAGGGAAGGGAGGGAAGCACTAGGCTTATGGATACACCTGTTAGCATTGGCAGTGTATTAATTGTATGTATTTTATTTTATCTTTAATATTTTGGTCTCTGAGGAAGTTTCCTTAGGGGAACGAAACGCGTAGGACCATTTTTTTTAATTATTTTTTTTATATGCCAATAAATTAACTGTTTTCCACATCCATCTATTGGGAGAGTGTGAACTTCTTGGTTTCCGGATTGGTGTTACTACATTCAGCAGGACGTACCCCCCTATCTACAGGGGTGGCAACCTGAAGGCTTATTACATACAGCCGATCTGTGAGTTTAACCTTGAATCATTGGACCATTAATAACATAACAATATTACACTATGTTGTATTTTTGATTTGTGTTTTAGTGATACAAGATGGATCCCTATTCTATATACACTATACAATAACCTATAAATATCAGATATAGCTCAAAAATATATAAAATGCATGTAGATAAGAAAAGGTAGTAGTTGGCAATAAAGCAAAGTATAGAAATCTGGCAATTATATCTGGCAATATCCAAGACATTCTGGTGATACTAGCCACTTATGGGAAAGAGCCCACACTCAGCTCTAATATATGTGCACACGGCCAAGGTGAGCCAGCTTAGAACCTCTTTGCCACTGTCCACCTCAGTGTTCTGTCCCCTGTAGCCGCTTACTTTGTCAACTTAATGTGAGTCGCGTAAGTAAGGTACAAGCAGGAGATTGGAGTACTGGAAATCTATTTATTTGCCAGTAAAATAATAGATAAATTATATAAAAACAATAAAGATAGACATGGGCTAGGAGGGAATCTAAGTATGGAGTTCATACAAAGATGGCAAGTCCACATGGCTAATATGAGTTGGCCCTGTCTCCTTCCTCCAAAGCCACCATGCATTTGAGATGCGTTTCACAAGTGCTTCCTCCAGTCGATGCTCAAATCTTGCTGATGACACTCACCTCTATACCTCTAAGTCACCTAGCTCCTCTTAAAGGAACACAATAGTTTCAGGAATACCAAAATGTATTCCTGACACTATACGTCTAAATGTGCCGTTAAGCTCCCCACCCCCCCATTACCCCTGTTAAAAAGTTGGATTACTCTTCTTCCTTTGCAGCTCTTTTATGGTGTGCTCCTGGTTGGCTTTACCCCTGCTTCACCTTTTCCAAATTTGATGAGCTCAGCCAACCCAATGCTTTCTTATAGGCAAATCACTGCGCTGTGCCAATCAGCAATCAGTGCCTCTATGCAAAGCGTGTAGACGTTGAACGTCAGTGGTCCACATTAGAAGCACCAGGAAGCACCTCTAATGGCCGTCTGAGTGATGGCCACTAGAGGTTTTACTAGGCCGTAATGTAAACTGTATGCTGTAGGTGCTCTGATGACTACTATAGTGTTCCTTTAAATATTAGATTATAATTAATTGATTTATTTTGAGTTGCTTTTATACAAAGCTATCACATTTGACTTGCCCTATATGGTGTATTAGATGGTTTTCCACTTGTTGGGAGATTGTGGATCTTAACGATAAGTATCATGATATATTATTTTAAGCACACCCCTATTGTGTGTTGGTTGTTATTGTCATGTGTTTTATAAATATGGTATGTTTATGTTGGTGTATATGAGAACTCTACGAGATGTGTTCTGTATGTTATATGACTGCCACATGACTGTTGTGTACGACATGATGTTGGCAGGTCCTGTTTAGGGTATGCCATGGGTACTAGGGGTACTGTACACAAGGATGGTTCTATTAGTGCAATGTAACACATATGTGACATCTACACACAGGCACATTTGCCAAGCCTCGAATTTCTGAAATAAACACCACCAATTATTCTCAGGATGCTTTGCCATGTATATGTCCCTAGTCTATCGGAGTAATATTCCAATACGGTTACCATGTGATGGGATTTTCTTGTTCATACTCTATATCCAGGCATTTAAATGTTTTATCTCCTACATAACTTACTTCTCTAGTGTTATTATATTGTGTAGGTGTATTAGAACTATGATAGAGAGGTATTACTTTGGCCCTTTTTGCCTCCTTATGTTTTTTCCTCATAGTTTGCGTATTAGGTCATTGTTTAGGCTGTTGCTTTTCATAGTTTCCTCAAAATGTTGTCTTATTTCCAGCACCCTTTATCCAGCTCTGGAACTTCTCCTGCTCTTGCTACAAAGGTTACACATACTTTGTTTTCTTCTTTCTTAGATATTAAAACTTCTCCACGGTAAGATAGTGGTTGGACACGCAATCCACAATGACTTCAAGGCACTTAAATACTTCCATCCCAAGGAATTGACCAGAGATACGTCTATGATCCCCCTACTGAACCGCAAGGCAGGTTTCCAGGGCACGGAGGCAGTTTCTCTAAAGCGATTTGCCAAGCAACTACTCCACAAGGATATTCAGGTACTTCCTGGGGCCATTTATTTTTACTAATGTAAAGACCTAGACTGTCCCTGCACCCTCTCCTCTGTAAACACTGCCTTTTCTGAGAAAAGGCAGCACCTACGTTGCTCCCTGAGGACACCTCGACTGGCTGACAGCCACTAGAGAAGCACGAAGAGGCTGACCGCTTCCCATCCAGGTCCATTGGCATAATGCAACTGTATGAGGAGTTGATGATTGGTGCAGCACAGTGTATGCTGCACAGTAGACCCTCTGGTGATTCTCTATGGGGAAGCATTATATTGGCTGAGATCATCATTAGTGATTTTCTCAGCCAGGGACTGAGTGTCGAGACCAGTGTGGCATGGGATTAAAGGACCATACCACACCCCTAAAGCACTTGGGCTTACTGAAGTGCTTTATGTGTGAGGAGTATCCTAGTTTAACCCCAGTTTATAAACATGCCATTTTCTATGAGAAATTGTCACTTTCATAAATTAACTAGGGAACACCCCCCCCCCCGGCTGCACCCCTGAGCTAACGGAAGTGGCAGGCAGGCTGTACTTGAGCGTGCCTGCCTCCTCCTACACAGATCTCGGACCAGCTTCTCCAGACCTCAATGAGAAGCTTTTGATTGGCTATTTTCATTGAAAAGACTGAAAGTCTTTACTGTGAAAAACCCTTTGAGTCTCTTCACATCTACTTGTATGAGAAAGAGAGATGGATTTACTGGTAATCTCTCTCCATGTGAGCTGGGGTTTGCAGTATATTGCAGCATTTGAAGTTCACATTGCCCAAGATGGTTGAGAACTGGTGGCTGATATGCTGATTTTTACAATCTCTACATAGCTTTACACTGCTGGTGCCCTCCCCTGTTTAATGCCACTCGTGATAGAAAACAGCCATGCAGACACTTTTAAAGGAACCCCCTGTTAATTGGTTATGGTGCCTGTAGTTCCCTTGTGCTGTCCCTTCATTAGGTGTTTAATCATTTTCGAGGAGTTTAACTCTAAATAAGGATCCCTGGCCGCTGACACATTACATCCACAGTAGGACTAGATAAAGCAGACAATTCAACCTTCTTCAGCCATACTCCTGCACACCCCCCCTTGTAAAGCGCTATTATTATTATTATTATTGCCATTTATATGGCGCCAACAGATTCTGTAGCGCTTTACAATATTATGAGAGGGAGGATTTAACTATAAATAGGACAATTACAAAAAACTTACAGGAACGATACGTTGGAGAGGACCCTGCTCAAACGAGCTTACAGTCTATAGGAGGTGGGTGTAAAACACAATAGGACCGGAATTTGCAATCAAATAAGGCGGGCTGCCTTTTAGGAGAGAGCAAGAGACAGGTATGTAAGGTAGAGGTTAGTCTTGGAGGCCATAAGCTTTCCTAAAGAGATGGGTTTTAAGGCACTTCTTAAAAGATGCAAGACTAGGGGAGAGTCTGATGGCGGTAGGCAGGCTATTCCATAGGAAGGGAGCCCCCCGCGAGAAGTCCTGCAAGTGTGAGTTGGCCATCCGGGTGCGAACAACTGACAGGAGGTGGTCACGGGCAGAGCGGAGAGACCGAAAAGGGACATAGAGTTGTTCAGTGCTTTATAGGTGTGAATTAGTACCTTGAATTGACTCCTATAGCATACAGGAAGCCAATATAAGGCCTGACAGAGGGGTGAGGTGTAAGAGAACTGACTAGAGAGGAAAATCAGTCTGGCAGCAGCGTTCATTATGGACTGTAGCGGTGCAGTACAGTTTTCCTGGCGCTATAGTGGTCCTTTAATTCACGGTTTAACACTAAATAAAGTGATGACGCCAGGGGATACAGACACTCCAAATCCTATCTGGAACAGAATGAAATGCCATTACTGCTTCATTTAGAATCACGACTTCTGTCAGGACACATAAAATTCCCACTTCAGACAAACAGTAATGTAGGCTATGCAAAGTTGTAATTGGGTCAAAGAAAATCTAGTCCATGAAAATCACTGTTTCATATCCCTTTCTACTAATAGAAGAAATGTATATACAGATGTCAATGCTGGCTTAAAATAGTAGGATATTGTTCAATACAGGACTGGACATTCCATATAACCGGTAGCCACACATCCTTAAATGCCCAGTGGTGAACCAAAAAGACACTCCGAATGGGCGTTAACCGCTAACAGCATCTGAAACCATAGAACGGAAGAAAATGGAGTGTTATTGAAGGATATTAGTGAGAGAGCAATCGAGAGGACCTACAAATGGACAATTACCATTTTAAAACGTAACTTTTTATCACACCATTAAAAGATCAAACAAGATTGTCACCAAGTGTCCCCATGGTACTAAACAAAAAATATGTAACAACTACTACAAAGTAAAATAAATCAATTGTCACCTAAATAGTAATGTTAAAAGAAATCTACTAGACGACTCTCAAGCACTCTCTTATAGAAAGTGGAACATCTCCCAAGGGTTAAAAACTATTTATTTACTTACCTTAACCCAGCGCTCGGCGCGGGGTCAAAGCTCCGCCCCCTCCTTCGTCCCGTGACGAACAGGGTGTAATGCAAATGCTGCGCGCATTAGACCTCCCTATAGGAAACCATTGAATCAATGCTTGAAAAGATGCTTGAAAAGATATATTCGTTTCTAGATAGTCTGCAACTGCAGAACCTCTTACCCTGAATATAATCGCCAAAATTACACGCCAGTGGTGTCTGGGGCTTAACCCATAAAGGTAACAAAAAATAAATAAAGTATCCACACTAAAAACAGAACAAAGTAACGGTTTAAACATGTGGATAATGCCTGGCTGATAATAAAAAGCTTATTCACAATTAGAAAGTCTATCTAGGAACCAAAAATAAAAAATGAGTCAGGGTGAATACTAAAGCAAAATTGCTTTTCTCTGACTCAAAATAATGATAAAGGTTTTATTTAAAATGGCCAAACAATTCCTTATCAAGAGTGTTCTTAGCTGGTAGACAAATACCTTTGGGCATATACCAAGTAGTTCAATCTTGGTATAGTAATGGTCTCTAAACAGCACTTTATAGAGACTAGCTGAACGATAAAGATACCCTTCTGTTTGGCCATTTTAAATAAAACCTTTATCATTATTTTGAGTCAGAGAAAAGCAAATTTGCTTTAGTATTCACCCTGACTCATTTTTTATTTTTGGTTCCTAGATAGACTTTCTAATTGTGAATAAGCTTTTTATTATCCACATGTTTAAACCGTTCATTTGTTCTGTTTTTTTTTTAATTCTTTATTTTTGCACACGATGGGCAATGCAAGAACATATCAGCATGAAGGCTTGCGCAGAAGCCACAGTGTAAAAGAGCATGTTCATATACATATAAGTTAACATTGGCCTCTATGGCAAGCCTCTTTACAGTTTCTAGACAACTTGCCTCCCATCGAGGATTTTATGTTTTTAATTGGCTGCTACACTTAACTTCCTAATTTTCATACGATAGACATAGTGAGAGCAGTACCACTGTGAGGCCCGCGCAGGAGCCTGTATGTTAGTATTCTGACTTGGAGAATTGAAGTGGGTCAATGGGCCATAAGACAAGCCTTTCAATGAATGCTATTCTACTAGCCTCTTGTCTTTGGTATTGTATCATTGAGTCTGGCCCTGTCTCCTGAGGAGGAGCCCTAACTCCAGCCATGTCTGGGTGTACTTTAGACATCATCGATCCTCCGTCAGTGTGCTCATGCCTGAGTGAGGGAAGTAATTTATGTCGCCAGAGATTGGGACAATGTTAGCCATAAAGAAGTAAGAGAAAAATAGAAGGTATCCTTGTAAGCCAAGGTTTCCGTGCCGAGAAGTAGAGAACGTGAAAAAGACAGGTAGAGACAGAGAGGAGAAGGTGAGATGAGAAAGAGGGGTAGATATGACAAGGAAGATGTGAGTATGAAGGGGGGTGGGGGAGGGGGAGGCGGACGAGATTGAGGTATTTCATTCCGGCTCTGGCCTAGAAGTGTCTGGTCCCGATTTGGACTGTTTATTTGGCCCTTCAGTCGGGATCCGAGCATTTCTTCTGTTTTTATCGTGGATACTTTATTTCTTTTTTTTTTCTTTGAATCAATGCTTTTTCTATGGGGAAAAAAAATCGCTGGAGGTCCTCATGCAGAGCCATTCTGACAGATCTGTATATAGGACACATTTGTTTCCTTCTCAGAGTTAGCAACAATTGTAGCATCTCTTTACTTTCAGACCCTTATGGCTATACTTTTTCAGGATAGCATCACCTACAATCATTACACTGCTTGCTACAAAGTTACCTTGCAGTTTTATTTTTCTATGTGTGTCCTATTGACGTTTCTTTTTTCACTTTTTTCCTTGTTTTTTAAAAAGAAATGTCAATAGGACACACATAATCAGAATTTACAATTTCAGCCAATCCAATGCTTTTTTGTTGGAGCACTCCTAGTAATTTGTCTCTACACATTTTTTTTTTTCATTATTGATCAGTTGTGCATGCTAGTATTTACATGCACACCTATCTGCATATACTGAGAATTTGATTTATTTTTACTAACTAATAGTTTTTAGAGGCAATCATATCCAATTAACCACTTAGTTGATGTCACACGTTTTGTGTACAAGACATTGCTTGAGAGTGGTCTATAGGATCACCTTTAAACTCTCTATTTAGGTGATAATCCTTATGAATATACAGCAATTTGTGCAACACAAATTGCTGTTGTTTGTCTCTATACATTTCCTTTTAAGTTATTGGCTGTGCATGTTAGTATCTGCATGTATATAATAAGAGTTTGATTAATTTTCATCTGTTAGTATTTTGAGGCAATTAATCAATTTTTTATTGTATTGGGTGATGTTCCACTTTCTATGTATAAGACATTGCTTGAGAACTGTCTAGTAGACCTCTTTTAATGGGTGAGAGTAAGTATAGCGGGTCCCTGCAGGCTTTTTGCACTAAACACTGTCTTTTCAGAGAAAAGGCAGTATTTACTTTACAACCTAAGGACACTTCCAGTGGCCACTCCTCAGATGGCTACCAGAGGTGCTATCAGGGGCAGTGTTGCACAGTGTGCAGCACTGACATTCAGTGTCTCCACCCTCTGCATGGAGACACTGAACTTTCTCTTCTCCATAGAGATGTATCTCTTGGAGATGCTGATTGGCCAGGCCGGCATTTGGCTCCGCTCTGGCCCGCCTCCTTGCTGAGATAATCAGAATTTACAATTTCAGCCAATCCAATGCTTTTCTATGGGAAAGCATTGTGATTGGCTGAGATCATCACTTCTGATGATGTCAGCCAAGGAGGCAGATATTTCTTTTCTTCCAAGGAGGCAGATTGGGGCAATGCCAGCACCAGCAGACTGAAATAAAGGTAAGATTTTACTACATTTAGGCGGGCCAGGGGGGCTAGATAGTGATTTTAACACTATTGGGTCAGGAATACAGGTTTGTGTTCCTGACCTTATAGTGTTCCTTTAAACTTTTCTAGTTTTTGTTACATATTTTTTTGTTTAGTACCATGGACACTATGCATAGGATGAGGTAGAGGCAATGGAAATGCCTACACAGGCTCTTTTGAAATATTTGCTAAATTAGAACAGTACTGTTGTCCCATCAGTGTGTAGTCAGCAAGAAAGAGGAGAAAACAGGGCAGGTCCTGCGCAACCAGTATAAATGTGCACACCCAGGTGCTACCGCAATTTATTTGAGGACACAATAAAAACAGCAGACATTTCGGGCAATGGCCCTTTCTCAATGCTAATGTCCTAAAACATTAGCATTAGCATTGAGAAAGGGCTATTGCTCAAAACATCTGCGGTTTGCATTGTGTCCTCAAATAAATTGTGGTAGCACCTTGGTGTGCACACTTATACTGGTTGCGGAGAACTCCCTTTTTATCCTCTTTCTTAGTGCCATGGATGCTTGGTGACAATCTCATTCGAGCTTTTAATGGTGTGATAAAAAGTTACATTTTAAAATGGTAATCGTCTATTTGTAGGTCCACTCGATTGCTCTCTCACTAATATCCTTCAATAACACTTGTTTTTCTTCAGTTCTATGGTTTGATGATTCGGTGGTAGTGTCAGAGTTCCTGATTCAATTCATTCATTGTAGGAGACCTCTTGAGTTGGGTAAAAAGATCTCATGACATGCCTCTCTTCTTTTTGTAGATTGGACGGTTTGGCCATTCATCGGTGGAAGATGCCAAGACAACGATGGAGCTTTACAGAGTGATAGAGGCTGAATGGGAGAGAGAACTGGCTACGCACCCGGTCTCCTCATAGATGTGACACTAGGTCTATTGTTTCTCAGCAAGCCAAGGACTAGCCATCACGTTTTGGTCCCTCGTCCTATCTAACGAAATAAAAAATGTCGTCCCTCTAAAATCCTCTTGCTGTTTGCAGCTTATTTCAGGACACTATCTTGTTTCACATCCAAAGATTTGCTTATTAGAATCTCTTAATTTCATCACCTTACACACAGGGTAGATATCAGTTCATTAGCGATTAGAAAATAGTCTCTGTCACATTGCAATCTTCTCATATGAGCAAATAACTCAATAAGGCAAATGAAATAGCATTCTAATTTTCTAGAATCTGTTAGACATTCATTTTCATTATTTGATTACATAAATTACGACAGTAAAAAAACAACAACTTTTATTGTGTACAATATGCATTAAACATGTCCACATGTGCATTGAACCATCGCACACTTGTAACAATGGAAACATACTAGTTTGCCATTCAGAGATTCTCCTATATGACGAGGTCCTTTCAGTGGGAATTGTTATATTCTTCCCTGTGTTTAGATAAAAAGATTAAAAGCATAACACCGTCAGATGACTGGAAGTTCAGGTATAGAAAGTCAGAGTTCCCCAACTCCGCTTCAGTGCACTAATTACTATTTTCGCGGAGGTAATAGTTACAGACAGAGCTATTCACTAAAGGGAGCATTATTGGGAATTAAAGTGAAGGTTCAAAGGCTTTCTCCAACCCTTTTTTTGTATGTTAGACTAATGCCCTGTTGGTATTATTTTATCTGTTTACTCCTAAGTAAACTCTAAGAGCGTTTTAAAAGATGATTTGCTTGCCTCAACCCAGCGCCAGGCAAAGCTCCCTGGCACTGCTTGGTGCACCCCTATGTGATGTCATGGGTGCCGCACCAAGGTTCAATCAAAGACTTCTCATTGAGAAGCCTTTGGCTGGAGGATTTAAATGGTTCAGAGTGCATGCGCACACTCAGAGCCCGCAAGGAGAGGGGGAAATGACGGGAGGGAATGGAGCAGGTGAGAGGGCGGCCATAAAAAAAAAAAATGGATGTGATTGGGAGGCAGGAGGTCTCACAAGAGCAGTCACGTCAGTCGGCAGCATACAGTGTACGCTAACACGCGTAAATTATGCACAGAATTGTTCTGTTCTTGGCTGCCAATGTCACGTGTGCTGGAGGTGCAACTAGCCCCCTTCACACAATTAAAAATATATCTGATGTGCAGTGTTTCAAGCTGAAAAAACTGCACATCCAGACTCCTACCACCATGACCACTTCAAAAAGCAGAAGTGGTGGTTGGAGTAACCCTTTAAGGCAAAAATAGCTGAATTTTGCAAAGCTAGCCTTTCAGTTTGGGGATTTTGGTCTACAATTTGAAATTCACTTAGAATTTCTGACAGTTCCATTTTAGTGAATATTTAAAATAAAGTCAAGAATCATAACAAATTTAACATATATCAAACCTAGAATTGAGATGTCTGGTGGTAACCTGTGGTTACGGAATACATATAATAACAGTAGATATCAGAAATACTCTTATATAGTATGATTCAATATTTGCCAGAAGGCGATGGCTCAATCCCAGATTTTTATATATGGAAAAGATAAGTACCAGCATAATACTGTATATAAATTAGTAAAAGGCCAATAAAAAATTGGTAGTGCACTCACAATGTAGAGACCGAGATAGGTCGTACAGGCATTACAATCCCTGCCACAGAATGTGCACTGGTTCTTGAATCATTCGGGTTTCACTTCATACTTTGGGTTCACTGTAGACCACTCCCCACCTCTGTTACCAATGTCAGAGAGTTGAAAATCCCTTAGCAGGGTAGGGCTTAGCTCATTAGCTGATAGTCAACTGATGGCTCTCAGCCAATGAGCTAAGCACTGGCTTTAGCCCATGAACTTCTGCCTCTCCAGCGTTTGTTGGAAGGCAGGGAGTAGCACCCGAAGGACCCCAGGTGAGAAGAGAAACCTTACAAACACAGTGACTCCTTATAACGGTGTTCTCCAGGGCACAACTAGCACCATAACCGGTACAGCAAGCGAGTGTTTGGTAAAAAGAGAATTTAGATTTAGAGCATGAGACACCGCTTGATCTCCAGGATGGAACCGGAAAAACGTGGATTACCGATTTGTTGTGGATGCTCGCAAGGACCAAAGTTATCCTTGCACCCTAAAAGAGAAATTAAAGACGATTAAAAAACATATTTACATTCATCTGAAAGTTCATCAAAGTAACATTTCAGTGAGATGATTGTACTCATCAGAAGTTGCTATAGAGGATGTCTAAAAACATACGCACACGACGAAAACAAACCACTTGGCAAAACCCTACACTGTGCTAAAGGACACGAACATATCAGCCTCTTGATTACAATGATTACTCTTTGTACCATGTGATAGCATCTTGTTCCTAATTGCAGTGTAAATATAGGGCATACATTATCTATAATTTTATAAAGAGCGTAGATAGCTACTGTAGAGTCGCATGATCATAATAACCATCTGGGAGATCTCACTGGAGAAAACGATAAAAATATGTGCTTCTACCTCAAAGTACACAAATGGGTTTTATTCTGTGAAAATAATCATGTTGGGTAAACACACAAATTAATGTTATTTAAACAATCAAGTGCCAGAGGTTTGTAGAGTAAAAGAATATCTTTCACCTGTAAAAATTGATTTATTCCTATGTCTGCCTACTTTACAATTATAAAAGGTTTCTGGTACTATAGGTGATTTGTGCCAATAAGTGTGCCTGGGTAAGACACATAATATATATCCACCTGTCTAAAATCCTCATTGTAAGCTTGTTCGAGTAGGCCCTTCATCACTTGTCAAATATCAATTCTACAACTGTAATGCATTGCAGAACATGTTGTCACTATAGAAATATTAATAATAATCAAGTGGATAGAGAAGGGCCTGCCATATGAGACCATTTATGTTGTTGCTGAAATAGAGTCAGATAAGTAAAGAACTTTAGGAATCCCTTGTGAAAACTAATAGTTAACACTTTTCACGTCTGATGTCTGATAAATTTGGTTGATTAAACCTGGAGTGCTTTGAAGTTTTCTCTAACCCTCTGCCACTAGTAGTCTGTTTAGGCCGGCAAGCAGAAACACTGCACATCCAGATTCCTACCACCATGACCACTTCAAATCACTGACGTGGTCATGGTGGTTGGAGCAACCCTCAAACTGAATTTCATTGGCCAACCTTACACATTTGACATTTTATTTATCACCTTGGTAGAATTCTGTAACTATGCCACGTGGTGTCAGCATTCTCTTCCAATAATTATAAAATAGCTTTTTTTATTTTATATAGATCTAACATTTTCCAAAATGCTGTAGAATGGGTAAATGTGCAAATCATACAGGTATGATTGAGAGAAACTAATTTAAGCAAATTGAAGTGAAGGACCTGCTCAAATGATCTTAAAACCTTAAGGAAATCTAGTGTAATTACATAGAATTGCCATTGTAATTATTTTACTTATACAAATATTTGATGTGAATATTCTCTCTGTAATTTTTGTTGCAAAAATGCTTTTTGATCATGCTGTTTTACGCCATGACCGTGGTTATTAACTGTATTACCATTAAATATGTTAGACTTAGCTACATTGGATAAACCTCTCTGCCCCCCCTTTTCTTTCCTTTCCCTGGTTGTATTTTTTTTTTTCCCCGATGATCATTATTATATTGATTATTAAACATGGTTTCTCTTTGAAAGACAGTCCAACACATATATCGTATTTCATATATTCAGCTTTTATCTTATTGTAAACTGTTTTGTATAACTTGGTTTAATTTTGAAAAGGTTGATGAAACTATGTTAATTGAATAAGTTTTTTACATTTACTTGAAAAATCTTTTTCAATAAAAAAATATATTTAAAAAAAAATTGCCAAGTATTTGTGAAATTAGATTTATACAAGCATTTTGTTGTGTTTCACAGAATCTTTATACCATTTAATTAATTTGTATAACTTGCTATTTTACCCATTCCACGTCATGGTGTCATTTTATGGTATTTTTTTACTAGGGATAGACCGATATTGATTTTTTTTAGAGCCGATAACGATAATCTGTGAACTTTCAAGCTGATAGCCGATACCTTACCGATACCGATATTCTGTACATTTACCGTTTAAAAAAAATAAACCATTCTACACAAGTCTACTGTTAACTGAACATGTTTATCATTATTGATTTATTTTTGCAAATCTGTTTTTTATTAAGTGGTAAATGTACAAAATATGTACAAGACTTAGGGAAGACTTAGGGTGGCACGGAAGAGGCGGCTGTGCCACCATTGGTCATCCATCACCAGCATGCAACGTGTTCTGATGATGGACACCTTTAATGCACAGAACTGACATAAGCAGTCCGGAAATCTCGTTCTGGGCTGCTGATGGCGCTGCCAAAGGTCTACTTACAATTCCAGCAGTAAAGTTACATATCTCTCCATGTGCATGGGCAAACAATTTGGTTCGGTTTAGTTCGGAAATTCGGGTAAGTAAAACAAATCTGGACATTTCTTTTATGAAGTTCCTTTTTATTTGCTATATTTATTTTGTTTGTTACTTTTATTTTGTTTTTATTACACCACCTTGTCCCACTTGTTAGTGGAGATATGCCAGTTGATTTCAACATTGATGTAAGTGCAATCAGTGAATAAATCTTTGTTACATTTTACAGTATTATACTATCTGCACTCTTTTTATTCCTGTATTTACATTTGCTGGTGATTGTGCCGGTACATTTTTCAAACCTTTAGGGGGACTTGCTGATACAAAAACAAAATGGCTGCAAAGAGAATGTGATGTCAACAGCCAAAAAAGTAATTTTATTTACCTGTGAACTATGGTGAATCGAAAATCATATTTCGAAATCCAGGCTAAGGCTGACGTCTGCAGAGGAGCTAGAGATATCTTCCAGTTTGATTATTTTGGCCTGAATTATGCAATTCAGTTATCAATTCACAAGAAAATTTCAGAGTTATTAACTAAACCCCTTGTGCTGAATAAAAATCTGGTTTACAAAATTCAGGCTAAAATAGTTAAAGGAACATACATGTAATTCTTTTTACGTGATTTTATGGGGGGGTCTATGAAAACGTGGTTTGTAATAGCTGCAGATATAGTATCTGCAGCAATTGCAAGCCCTCCACTTTCTTGACTGTGCCGGAGAATAACGAATCGGAGGCTTCAAATCACTGCCGCCCAATCACAGAATTGCAATACCCTTTGAAGCCCTTTTAAGGTAGGTCTGTGCAAGTACATACCTTTGTGTTTAGCTCTATGGAAGTTGAAGTAGTTTTTGCGTTTGGAGTTTTCCTTTAAGCTGTGATTAGATCGAGCTGGAGATTTTTCTCAGATCAGAGGAAACGTTAGCCGGTTTTGCCATTTGGATCTAATTTGTTACAATTTGGAAGTTACTGAAGAAACCCCAGAACCTGTGAATCATAATTACGCTGTGCAGAAAACAGGAGAAGCTTTTTGAACTCTCAAACAGTGGCGTACATACAGCGGTCGCAGGGGTCGTAGCTGCGACTGGGTACCTGCTGCCATCTTCTGCAGCTCCAGCACGTGCGGCAAACCACCAGGGCCGCCATCCAAGGGGTCCATCGGGTGGCCCATGCTGTCAGGGCCACCCGATGGAGATGGATTTCAGGGGGCCCGGTCAGCTCTGGGCACCCTGTGATTACATCACATGCTGGGAGGAAGTGACTGCACGTCACTACTCCCAGCATTCAGACAGCCCGTACGGGGGAAGAACAGGGAGTCAGAGTGGGAACTCTGACACCCATCAACCTGAGCCACCACTGGACCCCAGGGAAAGTCACCCTCCTGCACCTAAAAAGTAGGAAAACAGGAGGGTGACTTAAACATTGTATGTGCATGTTTGTTTGTATGTGTGTGTGTGTGTGTGTGCCTGTCTGTTTGTATGTATGCATGTGTCTATGTTTGTATGTGTGTCTTGTGTATGTGTACCTGTCTGTATGTATGTGTCTTTGTATGTGTGTGTGCCTGTCTGTGTCTGTGTGTGTCAGTCTGTATGTATGTGTACCTGTCTGTTTGTGTGTGTGCGCCTGTCTGTGTGTGTGTCGGTCTGTATGTGTCTGTATGTGTGCCTGTCTGTGTCTGTGTGTGTGTCGGTCTGTATGTGTGTGTCTGTGTGCCTGTCTCTTTGTATGTATGTGTGTCTGTCTTGTGTATGTATCTGTGTGTGTGTATGTATGTGTGTCTGTCGGGGGGAGGGAATGTGGGGGAGATGGGGGTGGGCCCACGGATCAGTTTCGCACTGGGGCCCCATGGATTGTGTGTACACCACTGCTCTCAAATTATGTTTGTGGAACCAATGGTTGGTTAGAAATAGTTTATTCATTTTTTTAATAAAAACTACTAAACGGTTTTTAAAAAAAATAATCACCTCGTAAAAGCAGTTTGTAAATCGCATGACACATTCAATGGAATCCCGTCCAGTTACTGAAAATACCGTCCATAAATCGTGGAAAAACAAGCCCTTTTTAAGTGGTTTAATGAATTGAAATAAAACAGTTTGTACAATTCTGGACAAAAATGTAAATTTGGAAAAAATTCTGTAACTTTACCATGGTCATAACATTTACAATTTGATTTTCAAATTACTGCAATGTACCAGTTAATTAATAAACCACAAAGAACACAAGTAAGAACATATTAAGATGTAAGTCTGAGCCTCTATTTGTAATTTTGAGATCAGGTTTATAATACAGGGATAATTAAATATGAATCATTGAGGCAATCTAAGCCTGCATGTATTATGCAGTTATAGACAGTAGGTGGCAGTGTAAGCAAGTAAATGTATCCACATTAGTGGGAGAATAAGCACTTGAGACGTTGAATGGATGTTTCCAATGCAGTTATTCAGTGTTCTGTGATTCAGTGTTCAATTCACCAAAGTTCACTGTTTAGAGAATAAACACCACTTAGAATTGAGACATTTGGAGATAAGATCCGGTTTCTTGAATCCATTTCTCTGTCCTTTTGTATATAACATTTATAGAACCATAGAGGTGCATTCCTGAACAAACCAAATTACAAAAAACCTATTTGAACTCCACCACTGCAGCTACAAAATGAGTATACCCAAAGGATAATGGGACTGGTAGTATAATAAGGAACCAAAGCAACCTATAAGTACTGTGATATTAGTTACAGACAAAAAAGTATTGTGGAATATTCAGGTTTCCAACCCAGAACCTGCTCCTACTCGATAGCCTAGAAGGATTGTCATTAAACTCAGTCTCTCTCTCTCTCTCTCGCTCTGGCTTTCTCTCCCTGTCTATTTAAATGCCAGCCATGATGATCATTATCCCAATCACTCCTTGCTTTCATAAGAATTTAATTTCTGATTATCCATTTTCAGTCTCTCAGCATAAATATCCCCAAACGCATCGCAGCCATAGGCGTGCGCAGCCTATTGCATTAAAGCACAAGCACAGGCTGCGTATATATTTGTATTTATGTATATACATGTATATATATATATATATATACACACACACATACACTGCTGTGTGTGTGTGTGTGTGTGTGTGTGCTGTGTGAGGGTGCTGGTAGTGTGCTATGTGGGTGAGGGTGTTTGTGTATGACACACACACCCACATACCATACCATGACAGACACACACACCATGACAGACAGACAGACACACACACACCATGACATAGACAGACACACAAACACATACCATACCATGACAGGCACACACACATACCATGATACAGACAGACACACACACACATTCTATGACACAGACAGACACACACACACTATGACACAGACACACACACACACACATACCATGACACAGACAGACACACATACAACAACAGACAGACATACACTCACATTGACAGACATACTCACACTGACACAGACTTACACATTATTGTTTTTTTGTTTTTTTGAATACCTCTTGGGTCCAGTGGGCGACCAGCCCGGACCTCACTAATCGGCACGCAAGGGAGCAGAGAGATCACAGCTCCCTCGCCACCCGGCAACCATGTGCGCAGCCAGCTCCCCGCCTCCACAATCCCTCAGCTTGCTGTCCTTCTCCACAATCCCCAAGGTGGCCACCCACCTCCACAATCCCCCAGCTTGCCGCCCCTGCCTCGGAGAGAACTGGCTCACATAACACAGACGCTAGGGCAAAATTGCTAGGCACCATGGCGACCTGGTGCCCGGGATTTGTTGAGCCTTGACTTTGTCTTATCGCCAAAATAAAGATGGACAAGAAGACACTACACATCAGCAGAAACAAGTAAGACTACTGGAATTATCTCCATTTGTGGATCTTTTACCAGTTACTCTGGTGTGATGTTTGCAGAGATGGGCAGAGTACCCATGTGTAGATCCATGTGTAGATCTCTGCTGCCAACCATGACTATTGTCAGTATTCCACTCTCCTCTATTTTCTTCCGATAAAGTCATTTTATCATTTAGAAAACTCACAAGAACTTTCTCTCTTCAGCATACAGTGCTGGTTTCATAATGTCTTTAAGGCAGCTCTGTTATTCTCCAACTATAAAAAAATAATAGTATTTCATGAAGATAAAATCTGTTTGAAATTCACTGTAATTCTAACACATTCAAAAAATATTATATGACTTCTTTATCTTATGCATTTTTCTACACCTGACAAAACCTGACAAAAGACAAAACTACCGCCAACAAGTTTTGTCATTTCCACAGCTGTCACTAGTGAAGGCTAAAAGCAAAAAGGCATTTCTATGGATTCTCCCGTGGTCTTGTGAGAGTATAGCACCCATGTGGGCTCCTTGCAGATGAAGACTGATGTGGGCTCCTTGCAGATGAAGCAGCAGGAGCTGAAGATGATCCACCGGGTAGTCATTGT